AGAGTCCTTTTGCAATTAGACTTCTTGTATCATGACATCTTAGCATAGAAATGAGCAAAAAGTAACAAATTTCAATTTCTTATAGCCTCTGTGTGCATTTTTATATGTAAATATGGGCTACGGCCTAAATCGACTCGAAATAATTCTCGGTCTTACATGGCCTAAGACCATTTTATACTCATGTGGTATGCTTTTTGTAACTTTTCTTTACATTTAAAGTACATTTAATATATATGGAAGAATAATGTATGGTTAAAAAACATCAAAAACTTCAAATTGGTTGAAAAAAAATGCATGTTTATGTAAGGCTTCCCTTAATTCGAAAAATCTCTATTTTCAGGCACAGGCTCATATAAATTTGACTTTTGAATAACTGTAATAAATCTGATAAATCAAATGAGTGTTCTGTTGCTTTTAATACTTATTATATTAAATTCAAGAGTATTTAAAAAGCAAATTTTTGCAATATTTAAATTTTTTAGGCCAAAATCTTGACAGTTGAAAATATTTGATTTAAACGTCAAAAATAAACCACCAAATTTCAATATTAAAATGGCCCTAGTTTCTATAATATATATCCTATGGCCATGAAACTTGGCCAACTATCTTATAATTGCATAAGCTTAGGTCAGGCAAAGTTTTATTAAAATTGGTCAAGTCTTTCTATCCTATTAGGTCCAAGGACACAGTTATCGTCCTTTGGTTTTCGTTGTCTACAAATATAGTCCCTAGTGTGAACAGTGTATAACTTGCATTTTTTTTGGATACACTTTCCCAATTTATTTCTTGATATTTTATGCATGAAATATTAAGTAAGGGCATGAAATTACATGTTAAAAAAATTTGGGTGCTGAATCTTTATTTTAAGTAGTGATTTGGTCCAGTTAAAAAAGGTCCAAAATTAGAATGTCTGAAGCTGTCAAACTGAATTTTAGCCCCCCTTAACACAAAATTGTCAATATTTTGAGTTAGAGCTGGTAGAAGTTTCTATAATTTTGATATTATTTGTATCAATAGTAGTACACTACACTGTAAAAATCTTTTTGAGATAGAGCAGGTGCGATTTTTTTAATTTGAATTTATTGTCTAAAAGAAATGCACTACGAAATAACTGTGTTCTCGGGCCTAAGAGATGAATTCCATAAATGTAGATTCTGTACTTTGGCAACTTTCCTGAATGGTTTGCTGGTTTCAATTTGTCAAACTCAATAAAAGTAAAGGATTTACATCTTTCTTTGACAGAAATTCTGTTAAAATGTCCCATTTTGGCATTATACGGCTAAAATAAGCATTTTAAAGCAGTTTCCATTTTATGCCTAAGAGCCATGCTGACTTTCTATCTGACAGCTTTTTATGTTCCTGATATTTGTGTTTCTATGCTTAAATCAAATTTAATTAACCATTTGTGAACTCGGAATCTAGAGAAAAGTAGATTATCACAGAAAAAATGTGCAGAATATTTGTATTTATGTCCCTGGTTAAACGGCCTGTTTGATGTATGTGAAATGTGAAGAGCTTTGTACATAAAATCTGTAGTCCATCACAAATATTTCACTAAATCTGTAAAAAAAAACACTTTACAATGATCAGTACACCCTATTCATTTCATATGCTACCATAATTTTCTTCTTTAGGATAGTAAGTGGTTCAAATATATGCCAAATGAGACTAAAACTACATGCAAGTTTTCCATTGAAAAGTGAAAAACTGGTCATCAGACCATACTGTCCGCAAAAAAAAGTTGAATTCAAGAGTCCTTTTGCAATTAGACTTCTTGTATCATGACATCTTAGCATAGAAATGAGCAAAAAGTAACAAATTTCAATTTCTTATAGCCTCTGTGTGCATTTTTATATGTAAATATGGGCTACGGCCTAAATCGACTCGAAATAATTCTCAGTCTTACATGGCCTAAGACCATTTTATACTCATGTGGTATGCTTTTTGTAACTTTTCTTTACATTTAAAGTACATTTAATATATATGGAAGAATAATGTATGGTTAAAAAACATCAAAAACTTCAAATTGGTTGAAAAAAAATGCATGTTTATGTAAGGCTTCCCTTAATTCGAAAAATCTCTATTTTCAGGCACAGGCTCATATAAATTTGACTTTTGAATAACTGTAAATTTTTGCAATATTTAAATTTTTTAGGCCAAAATCTTGACAGTTGAAAATATTTGATTTAAACGTCAAAAATAAACCACCAAATTTCAATATTAAAATGGCCCTAGTTTCTATAATATATATCCTATGGCCATGAAACTTGGCCAACTATCTTATAATTGCATAAGCTTAGGTCAGGCAAAGTTTTATTAAAATTGGTCAAGTCTTTCTATCCTATTAGGTCCAAGGACACAGTTATCGTCCTTTGGTTTTCGTTGTCTACAAATATAGTCCCTAGTGTGAACAGTGTATAACTTGCATTTTTTTTGGATACACTTTCCCAATTTATTTCTTGATATTTTATGCATGAAATATTAAGTAAGGGCATGAAATTACATGTTAAAAAAATTTGGGTGCTGAATCTTTATTTTAAGTAGTGATTTGGTCCAGTTAAAAAAGGTCCAAAATTAGAATGTCTGAAGCTGTCAAACTGAATTTTAGCCCCCCTTAACACAAAATTGTCAATATTTTGAGTTAGAGCTGGTAGAAGTTTCTATAATTTTGATATTATTTGTATCAATAGTAGTACACTACACTGTAAAAATCTTTTTGAGATAGAGCAGGTGCGATTTTTTTAATTTGAATTTATTGTCTAAAAGAAATGCACTACGAAATAACTGTGTTCTCGGGCCTAAGAGATGAATTCCATAAATGTAGATTCTGTACTTTGGCAACTTTCCTGAATGGTTTGCTGGTTTCAATTTGTCAAACTCAATAAAAGTAAAGGATTTACATCTTTCTTTGACAGAAATTCTGTTAAAATGTCCCATTTTGGCATTATACGGCTAAAATAAGCATTTTAAAGCAGTTTCCATTTTATGCCTAAGAGCCATGCTGACTTTCTATCTGACAGCTTTTTATGTTCCTGATATTTGTGTTTCTATGCTTAAATCAAATTTAATTAACCATTTGTGAACTCGGAATCTAGAGAAAAGTAGATTATCACAGAAAAAATGTGCAGAATATTTGTATTTATGTCCCTGGTTAAACGGCCTGTTTGATGTATGTGAAATGTGAAGAGCTTTGTACATAAAATCTGTAGTCCATCACAAATATTTCACTAAATCTGTAAAAAAAAACACTTTACAATGATCAGTACACCCTATTCATTTCATATGCTACCATAATTTTCTTCTTTAGGATAGTAAGTGGTTCAAATATATGCCAAATGAGACTAAAACTACATGCAAGTTTTCCATTGAAAAGTGAAAAACTGGTCATCAGACCATACTGTCCGCAAAAAAAAGTTGAATTCAAGAGTCCTTTTGCAATTAGACTTCTTGTATCATGACATCTTAGCATAGAAATGAGCAAAAAGTAACAAATTTCAATTTCTTATAGCCTCTGTGTGCATTTTTATATGTAAATATGGGCTACGGCCTAAATCGACTCGAAATAATTCTCAGTCTTACATGGCCTAAGACCATTTTATACTCATGTGGTATGCTTTTTGTAACTTTTCTTTACATTTAAAGTACATTTAATATATATGGAAGAATAATGTATGGTTAAAAAACATCAAAAACTTCAAATTGGTTGAAAAAAAATGCATGTTTATGTAAGGCTTCCCTTAATTCGAAAAATCTCTATTTTCAGGCACAGGCTCATATAAATTTGACTTTTGAATAACTGTAAATTTTTGCAATATTTAAATTTTTTAGGCCAAAATCTTGACAGTTGAAAATATTTGATTTAAACGTCAAAAATAAACCACCAAATTTCAATATTAAAATGGCCCTAGTTTCTATAATATATATCCTATGGCCATGAAACTTGGCCAACTATCTTATAATTGCATAAGCTTAGGTCAGGCAAAGTTTTATTAAAATTGGTCAAGTCTTTCTATCCTATTAGGTCCAAGGACACAGTTATCGTCCTTTGGTTTTCGTTGTCTACAAATATAGTCCCTAGTGTGAACAGTGTATAACTTGCATTTTTTTTGGATACACTTTCCCAATTTATTTCTTGATATTTTATGCATGAAATATTAAGTAAGGGCATGAAATTACATGTTAAAAAAATTTGGGTGCTGAATCTTTATTTTAAGTAGTGATTTGGTCCAGTTAAAAAAGGTCCAAAATTAGAATGTCTGAAGCTGTCAAACTGAATTTTAGCCCCCCTTAACACAAAATTGTCAATATTTTGAGTTAGAGCTGGTAGAAGTTTCTATAATTTTGATATTATTTGTATCAATAGTAGTACACTACACTGTAAAAATCTTTTTGAGATTGAGCAGGTGCGATTTTTTTAATTTGAATTTATTGTCTAAAAGAAATGCACTACGAAATAACTGTGTTCTCGGGCCTTATCCAATCAAAATTAACGTTTCAAATGGTGTTGTACATGGTCATGCGTTTCTAGGATTTCTGATGATGTTTTGTTTCTCATTAAATTCGTTGGAAGAATACTAGAATGACTAAATTGAATTAATATTTAAGTCTGGGAACACATTGTTTTGAATTAGTTTTCAGTAAGTGTGAAAACTCTACGATATGTACTGTGTTTTGTTGTTGTTGTTATTAGTACCGCTGGCAGAAATCAAGCAACTCATTAATAGAGTGTGTTGATATATTTACACCGGTAATAAAGATTTGATAATTTGTAAATAAGTATGGCCAACAGCAACTAACGACAAATAATTTTCGTAATTTTAGGATTTAAATGTTTAGCACGTCGTCTTTGATTTGACATTCCAACTGTTTTGATTCTAGCACCACTGATAATGAAAACAAAACACGTGCTGGCGTACACCAAATTATATTGATAACAATTTCATGGCTTAAGACAAGGAATATAACACTTTACATCTCACATAATAAGTTAATTATTTTAGGACAAACGCACCCTGGTGGAGGATATTTCAGATTTATCAACATTTTAGATGAAATTGATGAACCCGTAAGTAACATTCCTTTTAAATAAAACATTTCTATTTTATTTCTGTTTTTTAGGAGGGGGAGGGGAAGAACGGTTCTATCATCATGGTATTTTGACATCTATTAGGTTAGCCTCGTTGATTGATGTTGGTATCAATCCGTTGGATGAGAATGATTCTTGTTATCATCATGGTATTTTTATATCTATTAGTTTAACCTCGTTGGTGGAAGTTGGTATCAATCCTTTGTCGAAGAATGGTCCTTGTTATCAGCATGGTATGTTGGAATATTTTGGTTAACCTCGTTGATTGATGTTTGTATCACTCCTTTCGGGGAGAATGGTCCTTGTTATCCACATGGTATGTTGTGATCAATAAGGTAAATCTCGTTGATTGATGTTGGTATCAATGCTTTAGGGGAGAATTATCCTTGTTATCATCATGGTATGTTGGTATCTATTAGGTTAACCTCTTTGGTTAGTGTTGGTATTCATCCTTTGAGAGAGAATGCATGGTCCCTGTTATCATCGTGGTCTGTTTGTATCTATTAGATTCACATCGTTGGGTTATTTTGATATCAATGCTGGGGAAGGATCTTGTAATCATCATGCTATGTTGGGATCTATAAGGTTAACCTCGTTGGTTGATATTGGTATTTATCGGTGGTTTATTTTTTGTTTTTTGGGGGGGGGGGGGGGGAGTGGGGGTCTTGTTATCATCATGATATGTTGGGAGGGACCAATTAGGTTAACATTGTTGGTTGATGTTGGTATCAATCCTTTCTTTTTTTTTGGGGGGGGGGGGGGGGGGAGGTTCTTGTTATCATCATGGTATGTTGGGATCTATTACGTTGACCTCGTTGGTTGATATTGATAACGATCTTTTCTTAACCATGGGTTATATTTGTATCCTTGTCATAGTTATATAAAACGCGTTGCAACGGATTAACCAAAAAAAAACAGACTTTGAACCAATTGATTTATCACTGGAAAAGAAACAAAAGAGGAATTTTGTTGTCAATATAATAGATTTTCATGCGATTGTCATACAAATGAGAGGTTTAGCTAGCTATAACAGCAGGTTTGATCCACCATTTTCTACATAAGGAAATGCCTTTACCAAGTCAGGAATATGGCAGTTGTTTTCCACTTTCCGTTTTGAATTTTCCTTGGAGTTCGGTATTTTTGTTATTTTACTTTTTAGTTGGTACCTAACTTTTAGTAATGGCGATATAATTTGTTAACTCTTTTTCCGTTTTTGCAGGGAGAATATTATATTAACAGAACTACAGGAATGTTGTATTTATGGCCGGCATTTTCTAAAGGACTCTACAGCAGTAACGACGTGATATATGGTTCAATGATAGATACTTGTATACAGTGAGTTTTCTTAGTTAGAATTGCAATATTGTTCAATACCATTGCTGGTGGTCTTTATATGTAGAGTGAAGGTACAAAAAGTGTCAACCCTATTAATTAATTAATTAAAATTAAATTATATAAGTTACCTACAAACAGTTAAATAGTAAGAAACAAGTTATGGAAAAGCAGTGTTTCTGGTGGATGTGTCACTTCGTTCATCTCCGTTTTTTTTTTTTTGTATTTTTGGGATGGGGGGGTTGCTGACTGTAAAGTTGCGTATAGTGTTTTATGGACAACTGTTTGTCATTTCCTTATATTTTGTTTTGTTTGTTTTGTTGTTTAGATGTTTTTTAAGGGGGAACAGGGGCATTGGGCTGTCTGTTTCTATTAGTCATGTGATTTGATTGCCACCTTGATATCCTGTTTTTTTGTTTTAAAGGTTGTTTTTGTAACATGATACAATTCCAATATATTTAAATTATAGGTTAACCAGATACACTTCAAATGTTATATTTGAGAATTTCATTTTGGAAGCATGTCGTCATTTCGGAATCCAAGCACAGGATTCTTCAAATATAACAATTCATAGCATGGAAATACGGAATTCAGGTAATTAAAAACTTACGTTAAGTAAAAGAGCGATAATTTTTGGGATTTTTTTTTCTAAACAGTGTTTTTCGGGTTCCTCATGACTCAACAAAATGTCTTCGAAAAAAAATATCCATTAGGTAAAAGTCTCTCTTCCCTGTGTAGATTTTAGGCACTTAAGTTGAAATATCAAAGAAGACGGATTTGAGTTACTTCCCTTTATTTGGATATAAAGTAAGGGATATCGATTGTATCAATTGTGATAAATCAACTCAAAACTAGGTCAGACAAGCAACGTTGTGTAAGGTATGTGTAATTTTATAGGAAATGGAAAATCTGTGCAAACAAGAAAACATATAATATCGAAATCTTATGCACACGTTCGTATGCTTCAGAAGATTAATCAATTAGTTTAGGGGTAGGGTTGAGCGGTTACACATAGTTAGCACCGCCACATTCTGTATGCGCCCGTCCCAAATCAAGAGCCTGTAATTCAGTTGTTGTCGTTGGTTTATATATGTCAAATTTTAATTTTTTTTTTCGTAAATTATATTTTGTTATAAATTAGACCATTTGTTTTCATCGGGGCAATTTATAGCTGGTATGGGTTTATCTCTTTGTTAAAGGCCGTTCGGTTGTCTTTAATTGCTTTTATCGGTTCATTTGAACTCTGATGGTTAGTGTTTTCACTGGCAGTTATACCACCTCTACTTATTTTTATATTCTACGTTGTATTTTGGTACTGTTATGCTTTTGGTTTTTTTTTTTACCATGGCATCGTCAGTTTGTTTTCGACTTATGAGTTTTATTATCCCTTTGGTCTCTCGTTTAGACTCATTAAATAGTTTGCATTAAATTAAAACTAGCAAAATGGATACACATTGCTCACATAGTTTTAATTATATATTTACCAGTGAAATAAAATGCATTTTCTGCAACAGCCTTTCTCAGTTCATAAATTTAGAAGTGTTACTGTTTTTGTGAAACGGACAGAAAAATAAAAAATTATCCGATATGAAAAGAAGTTATTTTAAGTGTATACTAATATAAAAATAGGAAGACGTTGTTTGATTGCCAATGAGACAGCTCTCAACCAGAGAACAATTGACGTAGAAGTTAACATATATAGGTCATCGTGTGGCCGTAATAGCATGAGCAAAAGGTACCAGCCAACAATACAACAAACACAGACTACATCTTTTTTACAGGATCTTATAATGTGTACTGTAGAAAGGATTGTAGAAATTTTGTCATATCAAAGAGTTATCTACATGACGGTGATGGCGGTGTTACATTACAAGGTAAGTTGATGAGTAATCCCTTTTGGATTCTGTGTCTGGAGCGCTTTTCTGATTTGGCAGGTATGCACTGAAACGAAGAAGTATGAACCTTTAAGAGTCTGTTACAATTTTGAAAATGAATTGCATTTAGCAGTAGTTATAGATTCTCTTTGTAAATATCGAACACATGTTTGTCTCCATAGCGGCCATATCATTTTCTCTTAATCGGGACATTTCTCCAATTTGAATATGACTAACTGTAAAGGAAAAAAGAAATAAAAAGTGTTTTCTAAATTTTATCAGATTATAAAAGGTACATAAGTCTTCTCAAGGGCATACGATACAGTATCAGGGGAGGTAATGACGTTGCTAACGTAAAATGTTATTTTCGCGACGTCAAACTCTGACATATATGGGGAAAAGATGCATTTTTCACCGATGAATTTTTTTAAATTCGATAAATGTACAGCAAAAATTGCCGTTTTTTTTTCTAAAATCATGAAACTTTGATAAAAATGAATTATTTCCAAAGAATTGTTATACAAATTTAGGGCAAGCCATACTTATGTTAAGAAGATTTTCCAAATGTTTTTACAAAAAAAATTAGGTATGTCTATCTAAGGAATAGAAATGTCCAAAAAACTGAAATTTTGAGTAATCGTCTAAAATTTCGACCCCATTTATCTCTTAAAGTAGCACATGAAGGTATATTTTACATATTTGAATTGATTAGGTGAAAAATAGCTTGTATGCAAATTTTCGTAAACAAATCACCGTGGGATCAAAACTGTATCGTCTACCCTTAAGAAAGCTCACATGCTGGTTTGTATGGAATGATTCTGTCCATGTTAAAGGCACTTGTTTGAAGTGTGATAAAAGTTACCGATGACTTTTTGTGACTATGATAAGAGATTCAGCGGGCGACCAAATCAGTAAATGACATCTTACACAACAAATCCTCCAACAGAGTTATGAAGAAGAACGACTGAAATCGACACTACATACGTTTGACTGTCATCATCACGAATTGATTGACCAATACGATGTTTCGGTGTCTCAAATGACTAGCGACATTTTCTCCGCGGTGTGTGATCTTTAAATATCAGTAAAGTCGTCTGATCTTGTAATTTTACTGACTGTGCCTTGTTCCTAATTTTGATATTATGAAGGTATAATACATGCATGTATTTACCTGTCAACGCATCCGGTTACGCTTTCTTTACAGTTCATGCATTCCATTAGTTTTTGTATGTTACCTTGATTAATCTCTTCCCGAATTGAGTTACGAAATTTGAACTTTAGTTAACTACTGTCGTCTTTATTAGACATTTGCGGAAACTGGTCTTTACCTAGGGTTACACTTATACTTACGATTACAGTTGACGAAAAACAAGGGGTCCTCTCAAAATAAAAAAATAAACCCAATTAATATAGATATAGTAAAATGAAAAGATATTTTTTTATCATGTAAATAAGTCTTTTCGACGACACACAAATGCAGAAACTTATAGTCATAACAGATATGAATCGCCACAAAGTCCCCATAACTTTGTGTGTGTGTGGGTTTTTTTTTTAATTCTCCGAATGCGTGTTCCACCTCTACTCTATAGTGTGTAATATGTCTATTTAATTTTCTACACTTCCTCTGCATAATCTGGGGTTTGTCTCATGTCAGGTGTCAATACTGGATATCTGTTAGGATATATTTTGTCGCCTAGCAAACCAGGCTCAGTTGCGAAAGGTAATTCTTGTCCTATATTTCTTATCAACATATATTGCTGATGCCAAAGAAATCCGCACTCAACATAACATTTCCTGAATGCAGTGACAATGTCTGTACAATGTCTGTACAATGTCTGTGTCCTGGGAAATACTATTCTAAGACTTTTAGTTCCGTTATCGGCCACAAACTTTCCGTCGATAGCCTTACTGCAAACGGAAGTTTTCGCCACCCACCTTCTGCCAATCATCCAGTGAAAGAAGGCCCATAGATAAGACGGTTATATGTTTCTTGAAATAGGTATAAATGTATGTGTTTCATCTTTTATAGTCGAAACACTAAGGTCAACTAAATTAGAAATCAGATGACAAGACGGGTAACCATAACATAAAAGAAGAATTCTGTTTTTCGGGGAAAGCTTATGATCCCGACCGGTTCTCTGTCTGAAGAGACCATTAACATCGGCTACAATTTAAAGTACCGTTTCAGGTGTTTCACATGTAAAATGAATATCGTTTGCTTGCAAAACAAGTGATCACATCTCCATATTCCAAAGGTATACATCATTGCCTATAATATTTCCCTGATTATAAAAGATTGGTTTGTCGGTGGTCAAGCTAGGACTACCAGTGTTAGAACCAGATGGCGAATGAAATGTGTACCTTACATCTGGTGGAGTCTGCATCAGGGCAGGTAGTGCTGTCATGGTTAATCTGTGTTTTTCGTCCATAACGGGAAAATAATAAAATAAATGCACGAAATACAATTATCATTTATTCATTTTTCCCTATTAATAGTTCCACTCGCTTTACAAAAGCGGGCGATATATAGTAATTGGAAGTCATTCATCTTTTATACGATTACACGTTTGTATCCGCAAATGCTCCTTAACCGACTTAAATAGTGTATGATTTTTTTTAACAACAACGTTTAAATAATGTAAACTGTATTTTTCTACTGTTTTTGACGTTAATGATTCATGTAGTAAATATCGCGTTGGCGATTTTTTTTTAAATATCAGCTTATAATATATTTCTAATGAAATATGAAAATATTTCGTTATAAATGATGTGTGATGTGTTTGATTAAGATTCGGATCTAATCAATATTCGTGTGCATTCAAATATCTTTAAAAGCAAAGATCATTGAAGTCAAGAATGATGTAATATAGTTTTAATTAATAACATATAACTACTTTATTTCTAAAGAAATAAAAAAAATCCTCGTTTAAAAAAATGTTTGACTTGCATTAAATCTAAAACAGGGTTCACACACATCCGTGTACTTTAAAAGACAACTTGAGTGCTTTAAGAATATTTAAACGAAGTTCTTGAGAGTCTATACTTTGATATTCTTGATCTAATTTAAAATGTAATGCATGTATTTTTCGGTTTTATCAAAGGCGAGGTTATAAGATACATCAGAAACACAAATAATATAGATGATTTAGAACAAATTCTTTCACAGTCAAATTGAACTTGATTAAGAGGGAATACAAGGAGAAAGAGATAGATACCCGTATAAATGAGGTGAGAACAAGGGATAGGAAATTTTTATTGAGAAAAAAATTCTAAAGAACAAAAAAAGGATATTCCTTAAGTTTTATCTACCAAATACAACACATGCATAAGAAAACTGGGAAAATATATCATCAAACATTGGCACATATTACAAAAAGATGTGATTTGCAATAAGACATTCACAGAAACACCTATTATAGCATATAAAAGGTGCAAAAATTTAGCAGATCTGCTAACATCAACTAAAATTAGAAATTAGGAAATATAGGACAATCCCTGATAATGGCGGGACTATATCTAAAACCCATTTTAGAATCTATAAAAATGCCGCCGAAACACTAAATTAGTGTAGGATTGATGCAAGCAATAGTATAAATTTATCCAGTTAGTTCCAGTGATTTTCCAGAATATATTAAAACACCCTCAGGAATGAAGTAAGAGTAACGGTTGATATGAATTACATAAGGATGTTGGAATATGTGGATGTTGGGTTCCATTTTTATTTTCATTTTAATGATTCATGTAGTAAATATCGCGTTGGCGATTTTTTTAAATATCAGCTTATAATCTATTCCTAATGAAATATAAAAATATTTCGTTATAAATGATGTGTGATGTGTTTGATTAAGATTCGGATCCAATCAATATTCGTGTGTATTCAAATATCTTTAAAAGTAATGATCATTGAAGTCAAGAATGATGTAATAAAGATTTATTTGATAACATATAACTTCTTTATTTCTAAAGAAATAAAAAAAAAATCATCGTTTAAAAAAAATGTGTGACTTGAATTAATTCTAAAATAGGGTTCACAGACGTCCGTGTACTTTAAAAGACAACTTGAGTGCTTAAAGAATATTTAAACGAAGTTCTTGAGAGTCTATATTTTGAAATGCTTGATTTAATTTAAAATGTTATGCACGTATATGTTTAATGCAGCTTAAGTTACTTTTTCTTTTTTTTAAACGAGGAAACGATGCAAAGGGGCATTTAGAACCCATAAGTCGAAGAAAAAAGACTCCACCATGGTCAAAAGAAAAACAACCAAAATAAGAACAAAAGTTCACAAAAACTCCACAAAGAAATATAGAGTTCATTTCTCCATGACAAAAAAAATCAACTGATTTTGACGAATCATAGTATATGTTTTCTAATTAGAACGGTAAAGTTTAAATAATTGAGACTTCTGATGAATAAGGATAATTTGACAAACCACAATATAAATTGAATCAAGTTGTCGCTAACGATAGTCGAAAATTAACATTTGGTGCCTGACGGTAAAAGTCGTTTCAGCCATCTTGAAATATTTCTAGGATCACTTATTACAACAAGGGCCCGTATATGTAAAGACGAATATATATCTGCTTTATATTTTCATTGCATTGAAAGATATTTGTTGTTTTATTTTTCTTAATTGATCTCGTTAGGCTGTCAATCAACAATTTATAGTAACAGAACTTATTGAAATGCATCAAACTGACAAGTTGTCACAGCAAGCTAAGATGGTCAGTTGGGGGGAAACTGAGAAGAAAAAAATCTAGACAAAAACAAACAAAAGTCATATTAAACGTAAAAACCACGAAGAGCCGCTGGTCTGACAAGTGTTTCAAACTTGTCCGAGTTGTCTTTCAAACTGGTCCGAGCTGTCTATAAAAGTGGTAAGAGTTGTCTTTAAATTGGCCAGAGTTGTCATAGTCCGATTAGCCTTTGGGTCCGAGTTGTCCAGATTCCACCTGCAGCTGCCAAGATGCCATTTTTTATCGATATTTCTTTGAAATCCCGTTGTTCAACTATAGAAAAACATCATAGGAGTTAGTCTTTGTTTTGAACCGACGGTTTATATTTACACTTTGAAACGACCCAAGATTTAAATGCTACCTGTAAGTGTAATTGTAATCCTAATCGTAGGTGTATGACAGTTTCCGCAAATGTCTATGGAATTTGATGCGACCGTCATACAAGTGAGAGGTTTAGCTAGCTATAAAACCAGGTTCAATCCACCATTTTCTACATAAAAAAATGCCTGTACCAAGTCAGGAATATGACAGTTGTTATCCATTCGTTTGATGTGTTTGAACTTTTGATTTTGCCATTTGATTGGGGACTTTCCTTTTTGAATTTTCCTCGGAGTTCAGTATTTTTGTGATTTTACTTTTTAATACGTAGACATTGGAGAGAAATACATTTTCAAAATGACATTTGTCTATCTAATTAGCTTTGGTGTAACGTAAGTTTGAAGCGTACACAAGGTTATGAACCGGGAAGTTATACGAAAATGTTATTAATTATTTACAGCTAAAGGAAGGGCCCAAAGAGTTATTATGGCTATATGATCGCTTTGTCATTCACTTTAGAAATTAATTATCGTACAGAGAGGAGAATACAGCTGACTATGTTGTACATTATTAGTGTTAATTCGCCGCTACCCGTGGCGGATTCAGTGGGTAGTATAGAAGTATAGGGCGTACGCCACGTTTTTAGATCAGAAAAACAATTGTTGGACATACAAAAAGTTATCAAAAATATATTAGACTTATAATTATTACACCACACCCAGTTTTCGCCTACATAAAACTCGATTGGAAGCCAATTCATTCTCGATGTTGAGGACAATAACGCCCACCCCTTCAATTTCCTCGGCCCCTAGATCCACGCCTGACTATGAATGAGTAAGCAAAGACAGCTTGAACTTAATAGTTTTATCATGAGAAGATGTCGATCGAGAATGAGTCCCTATTTTTCATAAGTAAAGAACTTGATGCTTGTATAATTGTAACATGAAAGTCTGTAAAGCCGGGGTCACACATTCACGATTTTTACTGCCGTCCTCGACAGGACCATTCCCGATTAAAATTTGTCAAAAGTCTGATCAAGATCCTGTGAATCGTGGCTGGAAATTCAAATTTTAATCAAAATTTATGAAAACATTTATTTAATCACGACAACAATCAGATATTGTTCAGGAAGCGTCCAAATTCAGCCGTTTCCAGCCAAATTTGTCCCGATTATCCCTTTTTCAATCCGATTTTAATCCGATTTGTATCTTTCGCATGGTAAAAAACGACCGAATATGTCCCGACAGCGTCCCGATTCTGCCGAATGCGATCCGACAAAGATCAAACAGTGACCAGACAGTGAACCGACGCTGACGGAAGATATCCGTTAGAAAACTGTCGCCATATTCGGGACGATCAGGTACTGTCGGAGCGCAATCCTATCACAGTCTACTGTACCGCATTACAAATGGCTTTGTCTGGACTCAGTCGTATCGTGTTCTGTAATAGTCGGGACTCTGACGTGAGTATTATTGCCGAATTTCGTATTAATAACGGGACTGTTCCGGAACGGTTTCAGCAAAGACGGTTCGCAAGATCTGGATGAAATCTGGACTCAATCGGCAAAAACACAGTAATGACAAATTTCTCCAGATCAGGCCAGTTCTAAAGAACACCGTCCAGAAAACACAGAACATTGTTACGATTTTTATCCGATACAGCAGAATCTGTCACGACATAGTCATGATTGTAATCCGACTAGACAAAATCAGCTGAGTTTCCCTGAATGTTACGGGACGCACCTAACTGTCGGGAAGCTTGTCCGACCTCTCCGGACCATTCCCGATCCGTAGGAATCTGTTATGAACTTATACGACTGCGTTCAGACAATGATAGGACATTCCAGATCATTGAGGATAGTAATCCGACTTTTTCACTTTTCGTGTCTTAGCGCTGTCTGATCTCAAACGGGAGCCATAATCGGCACTGTGTGAACGCCACATTAGGGACATTGTATACGTAATAACTTCAAAATACTTGTAAATAGTCCTGCATCAGCAAAAACGTCCGCGTAATTATTTGAACACAATAGTCTTGTCTTTGTCTCAAATGTTGACAGGGGCGCATTGCATTGGCGCCAATTTATACAAAATCCTATTTGCACCACAAGGATATATTTCATTGGCGCCAAAAAATAAAAACTACATGTGCGCCATTTTACAGGTAACAATAACGGAAAAGTTCAGATATTCATTGCTATATCGCGAATAAGATTTTTTTTAATAGTATTCCCCCTGGGTAGTCAATTGAGTTCATACTCATTTCTGATACAAAACTGAGAGTCACTTAGGTTTAAATCATATAGTGTTCACATGTTTGAGGTGTCAAGATAGACATTGTCAATTCGGGGACAAACAGAGAAAATTGGTCTGTAATTTATGATGACCACACATATAGGTATCTAATGTTCCGAAAAATGGAGACAAGTCGTTTAGGGTACCAAAAAACTTGTAGACCCAGAATAACAACAGATATTTATGGACAACAACAAATATATAAAAACTTTAAACGAACACAACCATGGTTGTCAGTCAACGTATCAGTGTATTGTGCTTTCATTGTGTTTCTATGATGACTAATTTCTGATGAATATGTTTTATAATGCAAACAAAAACTGTGTTTTAGAATTATTATTAAAAGTTTCTTTGATAAATCTATTTTTTATCTTGTTTACCTGTGTTTACCTGTAATATTGGCGCAAAAGAAATGTTTTATTGTTGACGCAATTCAAATATGGTTTGTGGCGCAAATGAAATGCCAATTGGCGCAAAAGCAAAGCACCGGTTGACGGGCAGATTGAAATTGCAAACAAGACTTATGTTTGTTTGTCTTATATTTTAGGTGGAGATAGACCTACCCTGACGCCTTCAAACAATTTCATTATTGACAGCGAAATATCATTTTTTAGTCGTGTGACGTCGTCTGATGCCAATGCTATAACACTAGATGGCGTTGGTGGTCACATCGAGCATAATATAATATATAGAGGACAATATACTGCAATAAGATGGACGGTAAATAACTGTAATGTTTAACGTGTCCGAAATGATTAACTTGATGATTTGTATAACATTTCGATTACATATGTCATGGAATATAGATGCTAATTTGTAATTATTAAGAAATGCAGTAACAACTCTAACATTGATATCCATGTCCTTGAATAGGTGTATTGTTACATCTGGACATAGCTAGCCTGTGTTGGCCATTATATCACACATGATGTCTCCTTAGGGATGTTCGCTACTCCTGTTTCTGACTTTTTGTCAGATATTTGGAATCTTCTAGTTTTATCCATGTTTAGGGTTAGGGTTAGGGTTAGGGTTAGGGTAATAAAACATTTTGCTCGCTAACCCCTACTTTCTTTTCTTAATTTTATGACATATAGTTTGAAAAGCCATTTTTGAAAATCTTATAGAATCCTTGTTATTTTTTTATAGATTTTGAAAGTGAAAGATAAAAGTTGCCAATGTTAAACCATAGAAAAATCTAGAGAGAATCATTTCCCGCCAATGTTTTTATGAATTGAATCTCAAAAACAAAGACACGAACCTTTCATATTTTTCTGCTCTTTAAGCTCCCTTATCTATATACTATCAATTTATTACAGTCTTTTGAAAAGATTGTTACTTTGAAACAGAGGATCGAACATCCTTAAACCGCATAGCACTTTTTAAATCGACTTGAATTACCACAACAATAATGTTTTATCTCTGATGTCTAATTGTGTCAGATACGAAAAATTGGAAATAGCGTGAACATATTCGTGATATTAAAAACTTTCAGGATCCGATGGAATTTGAGTGAACATAACAACATGTCGAAGGAACAACAATATAGTTTATTGATAGTTGACGAATTCGGAGTCTTGATATACGAATTCGGAGTCTCGATATACGGAATAATCGGTGTAACTTTACGAATACGGAGTCTCGATATACGGAATGATCGGTGTAACTTTACGAATTCGGAGTCTCGATATACGGAATGATCGCTGTAACTTAACGAATTCGGAGTCTCGATATACGGAATGATCGGTGTATCTTAACGTATAAGGAGTCTCGATATACGGAATGATCGGTGTAACTTTACGAATACGGAGTCTCGATATACGGAATGATCGGTGTGACTTTACGAATAAAGAGTCTCGATATACGGAATAATCGGTGTGACTTTACGAATACGGAGTCTCGTTATACTGAATGATCGGTGTAACTTTTCGAATTCGGAGTCTCGATATACAGAATGATCGCTGTAACTTTACGAATACGGAGTTTCAATATACGTAATGATCGGTGTAACTTTACGAATACGTAGTCTCGATAAACGGAATGATCGGTGTAACTTCATGTATTTGTATTACTTGTAGGGTAACGACCATAGCATTCAATATAACAATGTTTTTGAAATCTGTATGAATTCGAGTGACTGTGGAGCAATACACTCTGGAAAAGATTGGGCAGCTGTAAGTTTATAAACCTCATACATGTTATAGAGCTTATATCTAAAATATACCATATGTTAAAGGTCTGCTAAAATTCAATTATTGTGGTGTTTTACACGGAGACAGGATAACGTGGCATTTAGTGCAACTACTCAATACAGCAGAGAAATTGAAACCTGTATTAACTCAAATGATTGTGGAGTTATACGATCAGGTGTGTTGTGGTAATGGGACCCGACACATAAAGCCACTATTCAATGTACAAGTTATTGAGATGTGTATAAATTAAAGAGATTGTCGAGCGATACATGCATATGTGAGTGTAGGGGCCGCTGAATTTTTGATATCTGTATTAACTCGTGAGGTTGTAAAACTCTACTTTCTGTGTGTTTGGTCGCAAGGTACGCACTAACGTATAAATTATTGACCTACTAAATATATACCCATGTGTTTGTGGGAGGTCGCAAGGTACGGCGCTTACGTAAAGACTTATTGACCTACTAAAGTTATACCAGTGTGTTTGTGGGAGATAGCAAAATACGGTACTAACGTAAAGACTTATTAACCTACTACAGTTTTACAAGCGTGCTTGTGGGAGGTCGCAAGGTGCAGCACTAACGTATAGACTTATTGACCTACTATAGTTATACCAATGTGTTTGTGGGAGGACGCAAGGTAATGCACTAACGTATATACTTATTGACCTACTAAAATTATGCAATGTGTTTGTGGGAGGCTGCAAGGTACGGCACTGACGTATATACTTATTGACCTACTAAAATTATGCAATGTGTTTGTGGGAGGCTGCAAGGTATGGCACTGACGTATAGAAATATTGACCTACTAAAATTATGCAATGTGTTTGTGGGAGGCCGCAAGGTACGGCACTGACGTATAGACTTATTGACGTACTAAAGTTTCATACCAATGTGTTAGAAATTTGTATAACTCAAGGGATAGCAAATCAACACACCTTACATGTCTTTGTGAATGGTTGTGAGGGACGGATGTAATTTAAAGACATATTGAACCATATTGACCTACTATTATAGCTTAACCAATACTAGTATGTCAAACCCAAGGGATTTAACATCATATCTCAAGTAATTGTTGTTAGATACCATCCAGTATTCGTTTAGATGTGGTTGTGTTTGTATATATGAATGCGTGTTGGTCGAAAGGGGGCTGTATGTTAAAGACATATAAAGCAATACTATTTAATATATCAATTATGTTTTTGCATCAATCCAAGTGTGTTGAGCGATACAATCAGACACGTGTTTTTGTTAGACGGACATGTTTTTATATCACCTTTTACCATTTCGATCTATTTCCGGTCGCTTCACTTTAAAAATTACTAACTAAATAACTATTATTTTGCTGTTTACCTGAATATACATGTAATAGTAAACACTGAACATTAAGCAAATATCTGTCAATTAATCAATCAATCTATATTTTGTCTGCAGCGAGGTACAGTTATTCGATATAATCACATTCATCACAATCTACAATATTACTACGGCGCTGATGTCCGAGGTGTGATGTTAGATGACCAATTTTCAAGCGTACTGGTGGAGAAAAACGTGTTCTATAACGTAAGAATCCATAGACATTTTTTGTTATTAAAAATCACAAATTGAATGAAGGTTATATTTTAAGGACTACAGTAAAATCATCAAGAAAAAAATCCAATTGCGTTTAAAGAAAACAGACTAATACCTTCCTTTAACTCATACGTTTTTAATCGCATTAATACGAGGCAGCGGCAAAATTATAAGCCCCAACGATTATTAGAGCATGTTTTAATTTATTTATTTATCTACATACTTTTCTGCAAAATGTAGATTTGACGGAAGTCGTCTGCTCCTCAGATACAATATTGCGGGAAATCGTTTGCTGCTTTATGTTAGTGTAGGACAAATCTCGAAGAAGAACAACAACATTCCTTGCATTTTCATACGAGATCGCGTGACTAAAAGTTTTAAGCTGTCATGTTGTTGAAGGATTTTTATAGACAAAAGTTCCGTTCTACGATGTATGTTACCTTCTGGAGCATATCACAACAGTATACCATATATATCTTACGGGACAAGATTATTATCTTATCATTGATATGGTCATACATGTAATTATAAATGAACTGTTAACAAAACTTTGATTTTTTTCGAAAAATTGAGGATATTCTACACCAGGAAATATATTACTCTAGGTTTATTTGGCAAAATCCAACTTGATGTGGTGCGCGAAATATTCAAGTGTACTGCAGACGTTGGTGCTACATAAGAACTTGTTATGAAAATGAAACAAAAATCACAGGCACCCATGGCCAACAGTTCTAACAACATTAAAAAAAATATATATAAAAGGCTTTTATTTTACCTTATATTGAATGGCTTTTGCCCTGGGGACACACTGGTAAAATACATAACCACTTAAGACTGATCATACTTTATATTGCTTTTTTTTAAAACACTAACCATTCATTTGAACGTAGTAAATCTAGACAGTATGATTAGTTTAATAAAAATGTTTAAAAATCTATTTTTAGAACGCTGGTCATTTGAATATTGGTGGAGGACGTGATAACATTGTACGAGATAACATCTTCTATAATTCCACCAAGTTCTCCATCCAAGTTGATGGCAGAGGTTCTGCTCATAAAAATGACAAATCCTTGATGGACATCCTTAACGTAAGTTTTTGCCCTGTCAAAGTTCAAAATTTCATCTTATGAATAAAAGGCAGGAGATGCCCTGACTTACTTAATAACAAATTAAACACTACCAAGCATTAAACAGATTGACAAGACGTCGATTAGTCAAAATTCCTTAATCATCAGCATTTGTTGTGTTAAAGGATTTTTTTTATTGGAAAATTTTACAGTTTATATACTTATACATTTTATTTTATGTCAAATTCGATTTCAAACATATTAAATAGTATGTTAAGCTTGCCTTGCATGATCCAAGTTAAATGACGCATTTCTACCCATCTTGTGATATCTTATACTGTTTGCTGAACAAAAAGAAAGAAAAACTAAAGGAACTCGACTTTTTTTTTTATGAAGCATACACTAAAATTGGAACAACTTTTACAATTATACAACGAAAACCTTTACAGATCTCCCCTACTTCTTTTATATCATCCTTTTTCATTGGTTACAGAAACTACCATATAAGAATAAATTGTGGGCGTCGAAGTATCCCAAGCTTGTAAATATTCTTAATGAGCATCCTGAGGAACCACGAGGTAATCCACGTATATTGATAGCATTTGCATCTGCTTTTTATCAATGGAAATTCTTGTTGTTAAAAGTACAACATTTAATGCGAATATAAAAAGAGTCTATAAAATAATAAAAATTGTGTGTATTTGTTTTTTGTGATTTGTCGAACATAACGCCAAAATGACAAGTAACTATGACGATGGAAATTATCCCAGAGACAAGTAGATGTGTGAATACAAAGAATAGCATTTCAATGAAATGTTTGCATATTTAATTTGGATTCAAATTTTTTTATGGTTTTCCTAAGCAAAACATAAACATTGTCTTATCTATATGCGTTGTGGCGTCAACGTTGGGAGTAAGGGATCTATGTGAGAGTTTTGTTAAAGGTTTTCTAGTTTATCGTACATTTGATTGCTGTTGCCGTTTGAAATTAATATTATTTGTAGACTATACAATCTGTTTATTCGTTCTTACTTTTGATAAACAATAAAAAAAAAATGAAATAATTGCAACGTGTCCCCCTTCTTGTGTTACTGTAAACTTCACTCTTTTAAAATTGAAGATTGGACGCAAAGTTGTGGAGAGGAATTTTGTGACAGCCAATGAGTTACTGTAATAACTATAACAATTCACAATTGATTATTTTGGAGTCTTAGTTGGGTAGTGGAGATTTGTGAGATCCATGAGTTACTGTAATAACTATCACCATTCACAATTGATTGTTTTAGAGTCTTAGTTGGGTAGGGGAGAGTTGTAAGAGCCAATAGGTTACTGTAATAATTATCACAATTCATAATTCATGCATTAAGAAACTAAAGTTCAAATTCCACAGGCAACATTGGCCTAAGATTTAGTTTGCAATTGTTTTTATGTTCCCTTTGTTCGTATGTCTGTGAACGTAATTATGTTTTATATAAATATTTAGGTTTTAGTGTTCATGATGAAAGTTAATCGGGAAACGCGCTTCGGATGCATAAAATGTATAAAGAACATAATCAAAATTGTATAATCTATGCAGCAAAAAAAAAAACACAAAAAAACCTAGGCCTCAAGTAATTTTTGCTAAAGTAAGCAGCAACTTGTGTTTTAGTACAATTAGAAATCAGAAATCAGAGCTGAATTCATATAAAGATATATTGGATAATGTATCAATAGTTGTTGTATTTTTAGGTAACCAAATATATAAAAATGTCTTTTACAATCCTGGCAAGCAATACACAGTGAAGTGGGATCCACACAAACCTGCATGGTTTGATGTCCACTCTAATATCATGGTAAGTTAACATTCCTCTGCGCGGTCGGTGTGAACATACCAACATTGTAACGAGCGGTTGGTTTGAACACACCTGTATTCCTTTGAGCAATTGAAATGAACATACTAACATTCCTTTTTATTATTCTAATATAAGAATGTGTTAGCTTACGTCTCTATGATTTGTCAAATACATACATTAGGGAAGGGTCATTTGATATTCGCGGGGATGGGGTAGGAGGATGTTGAAAAACTTTGTTCGGATAACAATGGATAAGAACTGCAGATAAATAACATTGAAAAATACTGGATGAAAGTGAATATTTTTCGACACTAAATGCAGCCATTTTGTACAAAATAGAAAATTAGTGTTCTTAGAAGAGAAGCAAGTGATTCTCGCAAAATGTCAAAATGAATATTTCGTCAGAAAAATACTTCTGTCCCCTCCGCCCTTCAAAATATCAAAGAACCCTCATTGTCAGGGAAAAAATCAGGCTGCTGTTACTAAAACATAAAATTGAGAATGGAAATGGGGAATGTGTCAAAGAGACAACAATCCGACCATAGAGCAGACAACAGCCGAAGGCCACCAATGGGTCTTCAATGCAGCGAGAAACTCCCGCACCCGGAGGCGTCCTTCAGCTGGCCCCTAAACAAATATGTATACTAGTTCAGTGATAATGGACGTCATACTAAACTCCAAATTATACACAAGAAACTAAAATTAAAAATGATACAAGACTAACAAAGGCCAGAGGCTCCTGACTTGGGACAGGCGCAAAAATGCGGCGGGGTTAAACATGTTTTTTGAGATCTCAACCCTCCCCCTATACCTCTAGCCAATGTAGAAAAAACAAACGTACAACAGTACGCACAGTAAAACTCATTTTAAGAGAAGTCCGAGTCCGATGTCAGAATAGGAAACAAAAGAAAATAAACAAAATGACAATAATACATAATTGAACAAAGGACTACTTGCAGTTACTGACATGCCAGCTCCAGACCTCAATTAAACTGATTGAGTGTTTATGTCTTCATCATATGAAAACCAAGTACAATCCCTCCCGTTAGGGGTTTAGTATCATACCATCATAAAATATATGAGAAGAACATAACCCGTATCGTGCCAACAACTGTTTTTTTTTTAAATAAATGTGTTTAATTCCGATGCAAAGACCCTATAAGTGAATCAATATTAAAGCCAAAATATGCAATCTTTAATGACCTGACAACAGTATCGTAACTATATCCCTTCTTAATAAGTCTGTTTAAAGGTTTTGTTAGCTTTTGAGGTGAATACTGACATTTTTGTGCTTTGTAAAGAATATTACCATAAAAGATTGGATGTGAAATACCCGAACGTATAAGATGTCTGCATGTTGAGTTATATTTACGAATGATGTCCTTATACCGATGATAAAATTTAGTAAATGTTTTGACTAGTTTATGATATCGAAAACCCTGGTGTAATAATTTTTCAGTAATACATAAATTTCTCTCGCTAAAAACTTATACGTTGTTACATACACGAGCGAATCGTACAAGTTGAGATATATAAACACCATTTGTCGTAAATTTCACTGTTTATAGTTAAAAGAAAAAAAGGAGGTTAATGCAGGGAAATATGTATCCCTTAATATTAATATTATATCTCACATACTAGTAAATCGTAATTTTCATTCCAGTCTAATTCTACAAACGATTTCAACTTTCCTAAACTACCATATGCAGACTTCCGGACTCGTTGTGCGCTGACAACATTTGTTAATAGAAATCATCTGACTATACCAATACTTCCGGGTCAAACTGGGCCTCGATATCATGTAGGACCGCCATTTGTCAGTAAGTAAAAGTCAACTTCATAAAACATTAAGAAATTCCTGCAATTACCATAGTCAGGATAATAGGAGTAAGGGGTATACTCCAATACGACAGGAAGCTGACGACAAAAATCTATGAAAAGAAAGCTAGAGGTCAACACATGATCCTCACCAATAGATAGGTGTCTATCTAATATTCTGTAAGATTATGTTGAAATAATTTAATTTTGGATGTAACACGTTTGCTGATTGGCAGAAAGTTTTTCTATCAGCTCATAGACATAATTTTGTCATGTGACCGTGACGTCATCAACGTTTTTTTTTATGATTTGCTCCTTAAATTAGAATAAAAAATGTGGTGCACACTTTAATTAACCCACTACACGGGTTATTCAGTGTACACCACATTTTTTATGTTATGTCTACATAGACAGAAAAAAAATTACAGACATTCCTTAATTACGTTTCAATTTTTAAACATGTAACCGTGATATGTTTAAATATAACTATTCTTATTCAATTGTAAATCCGGCCGTTGATTTTCACATTTAGCCATGTCAGGGCCTTTAATAGCTTACATATTATGGATGATGCTCGTTGTTCGTGGCCTATACTATTTGCTACAACCACATCATATGGACATTGCTGAAGAGTTGTCTCATTGACATTCATATCACGGATATCTACTCTTTTATAATTCATGCGTTAACCTAAGAATTTTCAGATTTAATTTTGCTATCAAATATGCATAAAACGATCCAATTCACATCAAATTATACATTTTACCAACTAACAAATAAACGAAATGATTAAAAATGAACTCCGCATAAAATATAACATCACAGTATTCCATAAACTGCTTGTTTAGTAGACGACATTATTTTTTTTTATTTTATATCTTTATCATTCAGTATTACAGTAACATTAAATCAATTGTATATGTAATGCTGTAATTATTAAACAAACAGTGTTGAAAGTAAATGTCTGTTGTTTTGTTTGTTATCTTTTTACTAGCATTTAATTTTAGCACCCAGATCACCATGGTTACTTGGTGGTTCACATGGAAATCAACCCTCGCCTCAAGGATGTTAATATTTACTGAAAACCAAATAAATGTAATTATTTAAACATAGTTTGTTTTATCTATCAGTGAAGAAATATGAAAAACAAAACCCCAGTAGGACCTTTTTTTCATGGATTTTAATGTGGATTCCGTTAATATAGAGAAGGTTGATGAATGAGGGTTCATTTCTTTCATTCACTTAATTTTTGTCTTTATCTGATCTAAATTGTTGGTTGGAATCACTTACATTATTCTTATTTCTAAAAGGCGGGCTCCATAATATTATGAGGGCCCTCTGGTCCCATTCATTTTAGTTGTGTGTCCTCTGATCAAGTAAACGCTTTTCTGCTATAGTGACAATTGCACTTTTGTTTTAAAAAAAAAATGCAGATCATATATAAAAAAGATATATCAGCTAAAGGTTATTCAAGAGTCACGAACGCATAGTTCTAGAGGTAAAAGACAGACAAGAGATTTCAAAAGGATATTCAAACTCACAAGTCATAAACAAATTGACAACGCCATGGCAAACACGTTACTGTGTATTTTATACGACTATCATACAAGTGAGAGGATTAGCTACATGTAACTATCGAACCAGGTTTAATTACTGTTTCTTCATAAGGAAATGCCTGTACCAAGTCAGGAATATGACTGTCACATCAGTTTTCCATTCGTTCTGTTTTTGAGCTTTTGATTTTGCCATTTGATAAAGGTCTTTCCGTTTTGAATTTTCCTTACAGTTCGGTATTTTTGTTATTTTGCTTTTTTACGGTCATTTTAAAAGTAGTAAACAAAATAAATATGGTGGACAAATTTACACATCATACTGAATCCTAAACAAAGATAGATATTAGTGTAACACGTTCGTTAGGTTCGTATACAAAATTGAAAGAAAGAATTATCAAAATCAGAAAATTATTTCTGATAAACTACTGACATACGAACTACTAGATTGAATTTTCATAGACAGATAGCTCGTTTTATTTGTTTTGTTACATATAATGAACGCGTACACACTTGTTTTTCATCATTAGCTCATAGTTGATGTGAAAATAGTTACCGCAGGTATACAACAAAATGGCAGTGATATCAATCACAACAAAAACACGCATAAGGCTTATACAGAAGCCGTTAAAGCAGGTTAAATACCTAAACCTTTATATAATAATTAGCATCCCGGCAATCCCGTCAATATTTATTATGGAAACAGATCTCGTCTTAGACGTTAGACCTAAAGAAGACCAGTACCTTACTCACAATGAACTTTACAAATTGAATATAAAATAAAGGAGATGTGGTATGATTGCCAATAAGACATCTATCCACCAAAGTTCAAATGAAGTGGATGTAAACAATTATAGGCAACCGTACGGCCTTCATCAATGAGAAAATTCCGTATCGTATAGTCAGAGATAAAAGACCCCGACACAACAACCACTGAACTAAAGGCTATTGACTTGGGACATGCACATATATAATGTGGCGGGATATAACTAGTTTGCTGGAGCCATCAACTCACGTATTCCAGTGAGCTATAAGAAAAGTCTGTAGCTTGCCATAGGTATATGGCGCATATACCCTTACTCTAATTCTGACAAAGAAACTGTTAATACAAACAAAAATAGCTGTACGTTGCAGGGCTTATCAAAATACATGATAATAACCCTAAAACTAATGAACATTATAAACGTGTCTACTTGCGTGTTTGTGTTAAAGAAGTCACGTGTTCTGCTGATGATGATCAGACTTGCGTGTTTGTGTTAAAGAAGTCACTTGTTCTGCTGAAGATGATCAGACTTGCGTGTTTGTGTTAAAGAAGTCACTTGTTCTACTGATGATGATCAGACTTGCGTGTTTGTGTTAAAGAAGTCACTTGTTCTACTGATGATGATCAGACTTGCGTGTTTGTGTTAAAGAAGTCACTTGTTCTGCTGATGATGATCAGACTTGCGTGTTTGTGTTAAAGAAGTCACTTGTTCTACTGATGATGATCAGACTTGCGTGTTTGTGTTAAAGAAGTCACTTGTTCTACTGATGATGATCAGACTTGCGTGTTTGTGTTAAAGAAGTCACTTGTTCTACTGATGATGATCAGACTTGCGTGTTTGTGTTAAAGAAGTCACTTGTTCTGCTGATGATGATCAGACTTGCGTGTTTCTGTTAAAGAAGTCACTTGTTCTACTGATGATGATCAGACTTGCGTGTTTGTGTTAAAGAAGTCACTTGTTCTACTGATGATGATCAGACTTGCGTGTTCGTGTTAAAGAAGTCACTTGTTCTGCTGATGATGATCAGACTTGCGTGTTTGTGTTAAAGAAGTCACTTGTTCTACTGATGATGATCAGACTTGCGTGTTTGTGTTAAAGAAGTCACTTGTTCTACTGATGATGATCAGACTTGCGTGTTTGTGTTAAAGAAGTCACTTGTTCTACTGATGATGATCAGACTTGCGTGTTTGTGTTAAAGAAGTCACTTGTTCTGCTGATGATGATCAGACTTGCGTGTTTCTGTTAAAGAAGTCACTTGTTCTACTGATGATGATCAGACTTGCGTGTTTGTGTTAAAGAAGTCACTTGTTCTACTGATGATGATCAGACTTGCGTGTTCGTGTTAAAGAAGTCACTTGTTCTACTGATGATGATCAGACTTGCGTGTTTGTGTTAAAGACGTCACTTGTTCTGCTAAAGATGAACATACTTGCTTGTTTGTGTTAAAGACGTCACTTGTTATACTGATGATGATCAGACTTGCGTGTTTGTGTTAAAGACGTCACTTGTTCTGGTGATGATGATCAGACTTGCGTGTTTGTAAAGACGTCACTTGTTCTGCTGATGATGATCAGACATCAAGAGCAAATAAAGATGAAGGCAGCTGTAACGTACACAAAATATTCAGAGAAGTATTTCGTGTGAATTGGATGCTAACAATCAGTCAAACGTGGGCGGTATTCTCTATGACCCTCTGTAAAAGCTCTACTAAGAACCCTTCAAATAGGCAAACTAAGACTCATTGTCATGCATAAAGATTAAATTCCGAAATCAAATGACAACCACATTTGAAATGATTGCTAACAAAATGGCCACACAATTCGATAGTGTCAAAATGATTGGTTTTACATGATGTGCAAGTACCAGGTCACAAACAAGTAGATTGTTCAAGCTTTTATATACACAAATTGAAAGTAATAACATAAGTGACGAAAACATAAGCAATGGATCAATGGAAAATGAAAAATACAGTGAAGGATTATACACTGAGCCCATTGTCGAAAGTACAGAGGTCAGCACAGAAACACAACCTGCTACACAATCAACGACAGTAAACACCAACCTTCAAGACGTATCTTGGACAAAACATGAATAAAATAACAAAACTCACGTTGTCCTTTTCAAATTAAATCAACAATATTGCAGGTGAAGTAGAAACAAGAAAAACAAATCTGCAAGACTCAGAACATCAAACAAAAAGACAAACAATATTTCAAATTCTCGTAGTTACACTATATTTCCGCAGTCATAAATGTCCAGCTTCGACACCAACTGATGAAGTACACGAACGAACCGTCCCTAATCAAAAACCATATTTTTGTTTTCATTAATTTAAATGGAGGAATTTGCTACAAATCAAGTTCATTAAACATAATTGGAAGAACTCATAAACAGAGGTTATACATATATAAGTCGGCAAGCAAATGCACTTTAAAAAAAGATAATTACGTATTCTGAAATAAAACTTGAATTGTTTCAGAAAATGAAGGAAAAATGATAATAATCACTAGGAGCAAACGTATTTTGTTGTGATTTAATTTTAAATTAACCACCGAAGACCAAATGACGGAGATATAAGCAACTATAGATCACCATGCGTACTTCAACAACGAGCTATTATACCGTTTATTATAAGTTATAAAAGGCCACGAAATGACAAAATGAAAACCAACTCACACGATAAAACAAACGGCATGTTTTATGACTTTTTTGTTTTGAATACTTTTTTTAAATATGTTTTTAACAAACAAAAAACAAATATGAAAGACATCATCCGACGAAAACCACAGAGTTCCATGCTCTTGTCTTGGGGCACACACATACAGAATGTTATGGGTTAAACATGTTCATAAGCGCCTAATTCTCCCCCAAGCTGTCACACTGGTTTAACAGCTCAACAGAAAAACAAACGATAAAAATCAGTCAATAACGGCTAGATTTATCAGATCGGCACAAAGCACAGATCCAAAACAACTTTCAGAAATAATAAAAGCACAAAGTACCGCTCTAAGAGTACTCGCAGTTACCGAATTGTATTAACAAATAAATCATGATTCCAGACTTAAATCAATCACTAAACAGATTTAGTGTAAATACGTCATAAACAGTCTGAAACAAAATACGACCTTGAGCAAATTTAAAATATAATCGTTGATGGATAGATTGTTGTTCACATCTATCAACAACGGTAACAATAACTTTCCTCCGGTTTAGGCTTACATGTACCTATTCCTGAAAATACCTGTTTTTGTTTTTTTTTTTCAAAATCAATATACAAATTGTTTTCATTTGAGCAAGTTATGACAGTATCTATCAAAGGCTGCAAATCTTGTACAATTTTCACTGATAACACCATACCATCTGCATACATCAGAGGATATAAATTTAACATTTGAAGCTCATATGATTTTCAATTTTGATTGATCAACTCCATCTCAAAGTTATTTACATAATCAGAATACAAAAGAGGAGATAAAGATTACACTTTCATAAGACCAACAGTGCAATCGAAAAATTCTGATAATCTACCATCCATTTTAACACGTATTCAAATTTATATACAGTACATAGCCAAAAGTATTCGTCACCTGCAGTTTTTGCTTTATATTTCATATAAAAACACATTTTTCAAAGACCTATTTTGAAGGCATTAATGGTTGCATTTTAACAAACAAGGAGTTAAAAAAAGCAGAATTGTCTCAAGAATATTTCTTTATTTGGTCATGGTTTTGTCTTCAGTTGTTTTTGTTTTCTCTTGATGTTAACACGTATAATAATTTATAAACAATTTAATTTGGTTGAAATATATTGCAAATTTCTGAACAGAAAATAATATATGTGTTTATCTCATAAGAAAATGAAATTGCTCCACAACAAATATACAACCAAATAAACCAGTGAAATTTCTGCTTCTATTGGTACCCAGTTGCTTAAAATCAAACACGAATTTACCCCAACATTTTTTGTTGTAAAATGGTGAGAAATTCCAAGTGAGGAATACGTATGGACACACTCTGTTGTGTACATTGATTTAATAACCATTAAAAAACTTACTGGAATACCATATCTGATTAATCGTGGACACAATTTAAAATGTGTCACACTGTCGAAAGCTCAACGATAATCTTTAAAACAACAATGTAAACATTTCCCTTTTCTTTAACATGTTTGTTCTTAATGAATGAAGGACAAATATGGCATATGTGGTACCAAGACCAGCGTGGAATCCGTATTATGCATCTGTTAGTTCTTTGTTTTTCGCACATCATTTCAACAGTCTTGTATTTATGAAAGAATCAAACAGTTTACCAAAATGTCAAACTAACGAAAGATAATCATTCACATTCCCCTTCTTAAAAACATATGTACCATAATGCTTTTAACCCACATCTGCGAGAAGGTTCTAGTATTTGAAATGTTATTGAAAAGTGTACTCAGAATATTCAATACCGTTTACCAGAAATAAGGTATTCTTTAAGAGTGTTGTCAAATCCCGGGAATTTTATCTCGTTTCATTGGTCGTATTCCATAGCTAAGTTCATTCTCAGTGAGCGGGGCTTAAAATGTTTTAAACACATTTTGTATTGTCTCTTTATGATATATGCGTTTTTATACGTGTTTATGTATGAATACTTTTCTAGGTTTCTTGTTGATGGCTTAGCTTATTAATGATTTAAACTACATGTCTCCTTTTTCATATATGACTATTGGTTTGATTTTCAAAAGCTTGTTTCCACCACAGTGACATCCAGCGAGAGAGAGCAATCAATGTCAATAGTTTAGTATATGTAATGATCACCGGGGGAGCAAACCAAAGGACAATAATAACCAAAACATTTTTAGAGAGCAACATGCGGTCTACAACAATAAATATGTATGTATATATATATATAGAATATGTCAGGCACCTGGTCGTCTAAGCCTTTAATTATTGTTTTATTGTCACTATTTTTTTCAGTTGTTTATCATTATTTTATTAAAGTTTCCAAATTGATAAATATAATATTAATGATATAATTATGGTTACTTAGAAAATTGATTTTTTTTTTATAGTTTTGAATTTCAGTAAAAGTAACAAGTATGTAAAAACAATTTTCATAGAATTAAAACCATGGTGTGGTTTTTAAAATATTTTAGCCTCGAGCATCACTTAGAGACATTGATTGCCGAAATGCATATCTGGTTAATGTTATTAATACATACATTCCACTAAAACAGTAACGAAATGTATTTTTTGGTAAAATGAAAGACAAATGATCTACTAGTATCACAAACGACTACACTTTAAAAAAAATTGAGCTTTTATTCAATAAATGTTTCCCATAGTTTTCTGATGCCTATTTCACTTGTTTGAGGACACTGAAAAAAAGAAGAAAAAAATCTGTATTAAATAGTATATCAATAAGATATTTCGTATACTGTAATTTTTTTATTTTTTGTTGTTGTTAAATCATTATCTGAACACTTCTTTGCATATTTCTAAGCTAGTATTTATACGAAACTGAACTGTTTGAATTCAGATTGTCGAGAGAGCATACTTGTTATTGGTTCATGTCTGTCATATTTGTTTTTCGTAAATTGTTTTGTCATAAATTAGGCCTAAGTTTTCTCAATTGAATTGTTTCATATTTTTTTCATGTCGGGACCCTTTATAGCCGGCTATACGGGTATGGGTTTTTCTCATTGTTGAAGGACGTACGGTTGCCTATAATTGCTTACATCCACTTCATTAGAACTTTTTTTTTAAAGACCAGGACAGAGTGCAAGCAAAATATCTAAAGTTATAATTAATCGAAATCAAACATTCCTGTTAATTAGCTATTACACTAGTATTGTATAATGAATGCGTTTTTAGAATTTATACTCACGCTACACAGGCTGAAGGGCACAGAGGAGTCAATATGGCCCCAACTCCTGTCGCTGAAACCGCAGATGCACAAGCCGTTACACAAGCTGTTTGTCCCATACCAGAATGAGCGAACCCTTCAACTAACTGTGTGACTTGGTCTAAGTGAAGTTCTGGTAGATGTATTTGAATGTTGCCAACTATAATGAGATACATGATGAATAAGGGTCTTGATCAGGGAGACTTCATTTCTGTATTCTTTGATTTTAAGGTCATTGTTCTCTATTTTTTATTTTTTTTTTGCCCATTATTATCATTTTTTTATTTTAGCACCCCATTATCTATATCCTTTTTTTATTTATATTTGCCATATTTTTTCTCTTATTTTTTTTACCTATTGCCCATTCCCATCCATACCCTCTTCGCAATAGTAGTTGCATAGAGGTTAACTAATTGGTTACAAAAACAAATAATGTTTTTTTTTCAATTGCTTACTTATGCCATTGTAGGACCAGTCCATTTCTTGGACTCTTTTTTTCTTTTCTACATAACCCATTTTATTAAATACTTACAGTGAATTTGATGACATATCGTATAAACACCTGTCTATATATTTCAAAAAATATGTGTTGCCCTCTAATTATCTTTTTGATTATCTTGATCGTTGGGTTGTTGTCTCATTGACGTATAACCAACATCTACCTTTAGTCATATACATGATTTTTTCGAAATATTAAGGACAAATCAGTACGCTAAGTTGAGTTACTTATACAATTTGTAACATGTTGTTTTCATATTCTAAACAAGAATTTTTATCACTGACCAGTTTTTCAATTGTAAATTTATCAACTAGCGATTTGACTCTAATGACAAAACTGCCATGAACAAATCGGCATATGTTATTGACACTAAAAAAATATACATTTTTCAATTCAAAGTTTCCTGAAATAATTCTAATATTGCATCAAATCATTTATCGCAGTTTAACAGATTTTGCAAAAGTTGCTAACATAGAATAATGAACTATTATAAATTTAATTCAAAACTTTATTATCGCTTGTAAAAGTACTGGATACGATTTCACAAAACAACTTACGACTATGTCTAATCTTTGCCGTAATTTTTTTGTGAAACCGACTGCATAAGTTGTTATTCTATAGTTTAGTCTTAACTAAATTATACATACTCAAAAATCTTTCTTGGGGAGCTCCAAAAACAAAAGGCAACAAAACGGCTAACATAAACAGACACTTCATTTTGATACCTGAATTGGACATAAAGCATTTTAATATAATAATATATTAAAAACATTTTTTAACATAATTTGTACATTCTATTCCCAAAATCTGAGGTGTACTTGATTGTTTACTTATTTCAACTCTATCAATCGGACGAAAGCGATCTGAGGCTATCTGAGACTATTTAGTCTGTTCCGTACGTCTACCATTTCGATAACAAAAAACACAATAATTTGACTGCTGTGGGTAGCTGCGGGTAGCTTAGTTGCTTTGTATATTTCCTAATAATTTAATTTTGGATGTAACACTTCTTCTGATGGGCTTAAAGTTTTTTGTCTATCAGCTCAAAGACATAGTTTTGTATGTCAATGATTTTCGTGATTTACTCCTTAAAAATGGAATTTAGAATTAAATTATAAGGTATGACTAATATTGTTTCTGTCTATTCGAAATTTCGAAAAAATTTTAATTAACCCACATAACATTTTTGATGTTATTTGTTCATAGACAGAAAAAATATTACAGTCATTGAATTTCCTTAATTAATGATACTGTAAATTCAGAAATTATTGCGTGCATTTATTATTACGATTTTGTTATTTTAGACTAAAATGCGATTTATATTTTTGCGATATTGAGAAAAATCCTGTTTTATTCATATAAAAAATTTTAAAATGCGAGTTTAAATTATTGCGATTATTACCCTGTCGCATTTTTCGCAATAATAAAAACATCGCAATAATTTCTGAATTTACAGTAATTGAAATGTTCATTTATTAATGCTCAGTAGTGGTCAGTTATTAAAGTTTTTTCTTTGTGGTATATTAAAAAAGTTTTTGATTTCAGGGTATCTAGAAAAAGAAATGTATTGTAAATTTAGTATGTTTTATGATGATTTTATTATTGCCAACTTGCGACAGAAATGTTTCGCAAAAAATTAATTCGGTTTTACAATTTTAGAGCATGTTTTGTATACATCATTTCGAGAAATCGCAATAACTTATCTTATATTTTGCCCACTGATCAAAGATTGCATTAAATAAATGCACGCAGAACAGTACTGTGTTATAAGCCTGGGATAAGAAGTCAGCGTAAGTCGGTTCCCTAAGAAAAATATTCAGCATACCTTCGGAATATACAAATATCAAACTTGTCAAACAAAGACGGTTCTCTTAGAAAATATTCAGTATACCTTCGGAATATACAAATATCAAACTTGTCAAACAAAGACGGTTGTCTTAGAAAAATATTCAGTATACCTTCGGAATATACAAATATCAAACTTGTCAAACAAAGACGGTTCTCTTAGAAAAATATTCAGTATACCTTCGGAATATACAAATATCAAACTTGTCAAACAAAGACGGTTGTCTTAGAAAAATATTCAGTATACCTTCGGAATATACAAATATCAAACTTTTCAAACAAAGAAGGTTGGCTTAGAAAAATATTCAGTATACCTTCGGAATATACAAATATCATACTTGTCAAACAAAGAAGGTTGTCTTAGAAAAATATTTAGTATACCTTCGGAATATACAAATATCAAACTTGTCAAACAACGACCGGGTACCAGTCTAAAGTCATCCTTACCTTTTTTGACTAAGTACAGGAACTGATGAACAATACGTGACTTCTACATTTTATAGATTTGATAAGACATCGTTACTGAAGCTTATCTCAGGACTGTACATGAATTACCCAAATTAGGAAAATAATTATGCAATTATATTTGACCCCTTTTCTGGACAAACAGTCATTTGGTAAACTCAGTGGTTGTTTGGAAAGGCAATAGATGGATATACACGAGTCAATCTCAAAAATCGGTAAATCCACAAATATTCACTTGGTCATAAAAAGGAAAACAGAAGAAGAGAGATAAAAATATAAGGATTTTGTAAACTTTTTATTTATTATCAATGTTAATTATACTCTAATAACACAGAATCAAACAGTTTTAAATAAATTTAACAGACAAACGAAGTTCTACCACTATTAACAAAATTTGGAAATTAACAAAAGCAAAAAATGAGGAAGAATAAAAAGGAAATAAAAAAAAACGAAAAGAACATAACAAAATGTTTAAATTGATTCAATTTTATATCTTTAAAATAACCATTTTAATCTTTGACAATAATCATTGACAAATTAAATACTGGGTGTTGTTCCTGTGTCATTTTGTTTAATATAATTACTTTTTTTATTTGAAGGATTTTCTCTTCTTTGAGAAAGATTCGCGTATGACAGCACAACAAATTTGCATATCAAAAAGTTTATTGAAAATTATAAAAAATGTTCTGCTTTTAAACTAGTTAACTAATACGTAAAGGAATTGTTTAGTTTAGGAAAATATAAAAAAATACGCCACAGATATAAGATTTTCTTTAAGGATCCGCTGATTTGCTGTATTATGATATTTTTGTAATCTTGACTCCAATTGTATTGAAAATGTTTTGTAATAATTTGTATGTAAATTTTTATGGTTTACCTACATCGTTTCTATAGATATAGTACATCATTAATTTTGTTGATATTCACATCGTCGCAGTTTTCTATGACAAAAATAAAATGTGATCAACATCACGATGTCATTAGAGATCGACGAAGTGGCGTTCGATTGATTGATTGTTGGTTGCTTAACATCCAGTGGCAAATAAGTCATGCATGTTCAGGACGAATTAACAATAAATACAATACGAAGGTCCTGTAATAGAGGCCGTCCTAGATAAAGGTCGAGGAAATTCGGACTGCCACTTGACAATGAGGGTAAAATGGATAGGGACAGAAATTTTGCATAGCAACAGGCCAACTTCGGACCCTTAAAGAGTTGCTGCAAGGGTTCTTAACGTGCAGAGAGCGTGGAACTCCCACTACACGAGGCATAGGATTTAACGTCCCCATTTTGACCGGATGTTTCTGCGTACTTGTACATCCTGCGTAGCCAAAAAGCAACACTTTGGCAAGGGATTTACTGCCAGACGAAAGAAGAACAAAAGTGTCCATGTTTCTATTCCCCAGTCACCCTCGGGTGTCATTAGAGAAAAAGGCAACACGTTCTATTTGCTTTCATTATCTACAAGTTAAATGTTATATAACGTAATTCTCTTATCAATGACAATAATACATTATAGAATATATACAAATATGGTGTCAGCCAGTACTTTTATCCAGTGGCAATTGTAATGAATAATATGAAAACATAGACAATGAATGAAATTTAACACTTTATAAATTTCATGCGTCGGAAGAGCTTTTCTGGGTTTACTTTCATCAGGAACGCTCAAACCTAAATATTTGACAGCCATAAATAGACACTTCTTAAAATAGAAAAAATGACCAGCAAGACAATTCCTACAAATCAGTCAAATTTTACCTAAATCGTTAGTAGACTCTTTATATGAGTGTTTGACCTTAAATGAAAAATTGTTTACCCTTTTTGTGTTTTGGTCAAAACGCAAGAAGATAGAGAGAAACTAATTCAAACAGAAAAAAATTAAGTTTTGTAAACAATCAATGTATAGTTATGACCAAATCAATAATAAATCATGTCAACACATAGGACTGTATTAGCTATGTAAAAATATCATCAAGATTTGATTTATTTCCAAATGTCCTACACAATTTTAGTGTTGTCAAGCTGAAAGATTTAGCCGGTCAAAGATTTATGCTGTTGCTAATAGCAAGCTCAATGTATTTCATACTTTGTTGTTGAAATAAAGCTTATCATCATGTGACTTTTGGATTGATATTTATTTATCTGTTACATTAATTTTTAATGTTAGTATTTTCCTACCTATTATATCTATTCGAGAGTTTAGAGTTGTATGTGATAATCAGATGTTGATAATTATGGTGACGTTTGTTGCTGTATATCATATTTGTTTTCCATTGTTGTTTTAAACATTCTCGTTTGAATTGTTTTACATTTTTCATATCTGGGACTTTTATAGCTTGCTATGCGGTATGTGTTTTGTTCATTATTGAAAGCATACGGTCACCAATATAATTTTTTATGCTTACACACATCTTCTTATTTTTATATTTACATTTACGTAATTTGGTCCCTGATGAATAGTTGTGTCATTGGCTATCATACCACATCTTCTTATTTTATATTACTTCAGAGCAGCAACAAGAGGTCAATGTGACGTGTAGGTATTCATGGTAATCATCAACTTTAATATATCATGAGTGATAAGTAGATCAGTTGGTTTTCTCGTTTGAATTGTTTTACAGTTTTCATGTCTTAGACTTTTATAGCTTGATTGCGGTATGTGTTTTGTTCATTGTTGAAGGTGTGCTGTGACCAATATATTCTAACCACGTCTTCTTAATTTTATATTTACATTTAATTCATTTGGTCTCTGGTGGATAGTGGTATCATCGGCAATTATACTCTCTTTATTCGCGAATTGGACCTATATATTTTATAGGATGGTGAATGATCGTTTCAAACTGTGTAATGCCCGAAAGGGCCCTGTGATTAGGAAAATAAAGAATTTGAATTTGAACTTGAATTTTGAATTTGAACTTGAATTTGAATTATATCTAATACATGGAGACATCATAAATCTAGCTTGTGTAAAGCTATTTTCAATATCTGTATCTTAAATGTACAATTAAAAATGGAATTGAAAATTAATTTTGTAAATTTAGTACCATTATATTAGTTCCATTCTCACGCAGTTAGAATCAATCTTATAGAATTGTATTTATTCATCCTTTTTCGTTTTTCTCAGACTCAGAAATCAACCAATCAAAATCATGGATTGGGTGCTTCGAGCACACATTTTGTACTCCGAGTACCGAGTAAAGTTTTATGACCGAGAGTCCAGGCCTTGCAGTCATAAACATTTGGAGTACAATTATCGTACTCAGACTCAGAATTCAATCAATCAAAATACAAATTGAGCACTGAGTAAAGTTTTATGACCGTAGGCCCAGAAGATCAAACACAGCATTATCTGACACTCAAATATGTCAGTAGAGAACTTGTTTTTATCAATTTATCAAGTATATGGAATTATTGCAATGTTCAAAGATGTGTGCCTCAATACTTTATAATGCTGATTAACCTATAATTAGTTTTCATTTTTGCACCTTCAAAACGCCTAGAAAAAATAGTATGTTTTAACCATACATCTATTGCTGCCAACGTTGATATTTCAAACAACACTTCTTAGCATTGAGACTTTTTATTTGGTGTAAAGATGTGATCTATGTGGCACTGTTGTTACAGGACAACTTCAAATTGTCTAAGAGCGAAATCATATATCGTTCATCTTCTAAATCAACTGAAAGGAATGTCGTTTAGTCATCATCGACAGCCTTTACCTGTAAATCTTGGTGTATAAAAGAGAGAAAGTTGATAACAAAAATATTTCTTCAAAAATACATGAGTCTTGTTGATAATCATTTTAACATTTTGAAGTTATTTTTATACGAAATCGTTCGACTAAATTGATATGCAGAATTAAGAAAAAATCAAATACTCTGGAAAGCGTTTTGCGTTTTAAGAACATTCTTCAACAACGACTGAGTTTGAAACTGCTGCTGAACACCAAACAGTTTCCACTACGTTTTCGCTTCCTTATGCATTTCGCATTATATTAGCATTGAATAAACGTTGACTACACATGTTTCCGTTCTTGTGACTTATGCTCTATGCTCTTAAAACCGTTAAAACTTCACGGCAAAAAATATGACGAGCTTCCGAATTGTAAACTTTCCATTTCTATGTAGCAACATTTCAGCAGCGCCTGCATATAGAGTATATATCTCCCAGTTTATACGATATTCATGAGCTTGCATTTCCTATCATGATTTCCTTGGTAGGGGTTGCTGCTTACAAAGAAGCTATATAATCAAGGTTTATAAGTGTTAAAGCTCAAGTCATTCCTTTGTAACTTTTACAGACGCCACCGTGAATTAGTTGGCCATTATGGAATATCTGTTTCACAGATGACCAGGGATATGTTCCAGTTGTTGTCACCACAATCCGGTCCTCTTTCTCGAATGTGACATTACCGAATGAGACTTATCACCAAATTTGTACTTACATGAGCAACACGACGGGTGCAACACGCTGAGCAGAATATGCTTATCCTTCCGGAGCACCTGGGGTATCCCCCGGGTTTAAGTGGGTTTCGTGTTGCACAGTCTTTAGTTTTCTATGTAGTGTTTTGTAAACTGTTGTTTGTCTTTCCGTTATTTTTCGTTTTTCGCGTTGCAAGGTTGTCTTCGACTTATGAGTTTGAATAGATATAAGAAGATGTGGTATGAGTGCCAATGAGACAACTCTCTATCCAAAAAGTCAAAATTTATAAAAGTAAACCATTATAGGTCAAAGTACGGTCTTCAACACGAGCCGTGGCTCACACCGAACAGAAAGCTATAAAGGGCCCCTAAAATTACTAGTGTAAAACCATTCAAACGGGAAAACCAACGGTCTAATCTATATATAAAACGAGAAACACTTATTAACCACATCAACAAACGACAACTACTAAAATATCAGATTTCTGACTTAGGACAGGTGCAAACAATTGCAGCGGGTTTGAACGTTTTAAAGGTACCAAACCTTCACCCTTATCTGAAACAATAGTGTAACATCG